TACCAAGAAAAAACATTTGTTTTTACTTCAGCTGTGAATTTTACTGTAAAACTAGAGTTAACAAAGAAAGGCACTTTTTTCTGCTGTTCATTAATTAAGTGAAACAATTTTATTCTGTCACTTGGAGGTATAAAATCAGCAAATTATGTTAATTCTTCCAAGACAATCTTAATTTTCTGTAGAAATTTTAGGAAATACAGCCAGGTAAAAAGAACTGGAAAAAAATCACTTTTATTGCCAGTAACATTTTGGTAGTTTTTTCATCTGGTACTTTTTCTTTGTGTGTATGCATGAGCATGCATATGTTCTAAAGAGAGACATTAAAACATGGTTTGCTTCTTTGTTTCCAGTAGAGAAGTTTGAAAAAAACCTATAAATGAAGTAGATTCTTCAGTAACAATAAAAATTGTATCAAGGAATCATAGGGAAATAATAATAGCAATAATAGCGAACATTGATGGAGTGCCTATGGGCCATGCATTGTGTTCAGTGCATAACAGGAATTACTTCATCAATCCTAACAGCATTATGAGGTAGCTACCGTTAATACTCTCACACAACAGATGAGTTCCTGAGATATATAGAGATGATATAATTTTCCCATGTCTCATTAGAAGATTGAGGCCTACAGGAAGGGAGTGACCATCTTCAGATAGCTAATCCCCTTAGACTAGAAGGAGAGTTAAGATTAGAATTTCGTTCTCGACTCTCAGTCCATTCATATAAATTTTCTCTGCCTGATCTTAGTGACCTTAAACAAAGTTCAGAAAATAGTTGCGGGCAAAATTCTGAATATTTCAGATAATTCCTCAGTCATTCACACTCTTGAGATGAAATCCACAAGGCCTAGTACACAGTAGATACCAAACCAATGCACGCTGAATCTAAATGCCAGGCAGTGTTTCCTGTCAACAGAGACTAGTTCTGACGGCCCCTGTTCATACCAAACACCCCCAGGCAGCTCTAAGTAGAGGTCCAAGTGATTTGAAATAAATAGTTCATGAAAGAAACCTTCACTAATTCATTCAACAAGTATTTACCGAGGGCATACCATGTGCCAGGTACTGTTTCAGGTTCCAGGAACATAATGGTGAAAAATCAGATAAAGTCTCAGTCCTCAGGAAGCTCACTGATAAAGTAGGAGGAGATTGACACTGGACGATGGAACGTTAAACAGGATGTTGCTGTTTTGAAGAAAAATAGCTCAACATAAAGAGGATAAAGAGTGACAAGGGAAGGTGTATTTTAGATACGGTGGCTTGGGAAGGTCTTTGTGACATGAGATATCTGAGCAAGGAGGTAAGGAAGGTGTTTTAGGGGGAAATGGTGAGGAGAACAGGGTGAAGGAGGGGAAGCTTGGAGGGAATGAGGCCCTAGATGTTGGCAAGAACTAGGCCATTTGGGGCCTTTGCAGATCATAAGAGGGGTTCTGGAGAGTGAGGTGTGGTCAGTATCATTTGAAAAATTTTATCCATAATAACAAGAAATTAGGCAAAACTTTCTTGAGATTTTTCCTTCCCTCCCTTCCCTCCTTC